CCCAGGGATTTGGAAGGCTGAGGTGGGAGTGAGCTGTATGCCCCAGCACTCCGGGAAGGGTGATGCACCCCGGAGGCTGGGCTGCACTGCCTCGAGGTACCTGTCCGTTGACCACTGCCTTTTCCCTCAGGAGAGAAGTGCCTGTCCGAGATACCTTATGACAGCAGCGCCAACTATGAGAAGGAGAACGAGATGATGTCCTCGCACGTGATGGACCAGGCCATCAACAATGCCATCAGTTACCTAGGGGCCGAGTCTCTACGCCCCCTGGTGCAGACGCCCCCAGGCAGCTCCGAGGTGGTCCCGGTAATCAGCTCCATGTACCAGCTCCACAAGCCCCTCGGGGATGGGCCTGCGCGTACCAACCACACAGCGCAGGACAGTGCCGTAGAGAACCTGCTGCTGCTCTCCAAGGCCAAGTCTGTCTCCTCAGAGCGAGATGCCTCACCCAGCAACAGCTGTCAAGACTCCACCGACACCGAGAGCAACACGGAGGAGCAGCGCAGTGGAGGCCTCATCTACCTAACCAACCACATCACAGCCCACGCTCGCAATGGGCTGTCAGTCAAGGAGGAGCAGCGCGCCTTTGATGTGCTGCGCGCTGCCGCAGAGAGTGCGCACGATGCTTTCCGTGTGCTCAGCGCCAGTGGCGAACAGCTCAAGGTGTACAAGTGTGAACACTGCAGGGTGCTCTTCCTGGACCACGTCATGTACACCATCCACATGGGCTGCCATGGCTTCCGCGACCCCTTCGAGTGCAACATGTGTGGCTACCACAGCCAGGACAGGTACGAGTTCTCATCCCACATCACTCGCGGGGAGCACCGCTACCACATGAGCTGAGCTGTGCAGGCCACAGGGCAGCGGCCACCTGGACAGAGAGCACCTCGGCAGTGGTCATCTGGGGCAGCAGCCACCTCGGAAGACAAGCACAAACACCCTGCGCACCCCAGCGGGGACAGCAGCTGATGCCGTTGCCTCACAACATCCCACTGCAATGTGTACTGGATGCCGATGGGCTTTGATTTTTAAGAGTTTTGTTGTATTATTTCATAAGTTGTTTGGGATTTTATTTGCCTTTGAGAACAATGAGAATTTTCCCTTTAGATGTAGGCTTGTGTTTGGAGCACCCAGAGAAGTTCTGTCACTAGACAGGTCCACAGTTGACTGGCTGAAATCTCTTATCCTCTTCACTTCCTTTCTGCCCAATAATTAGCCCTTCCCCACAGTGAATTCCAGGATAATGGCCATACCCTGGGGAGGAACCAGCTGGTTCCCTGAATGGTGTCCTCTCCTCCCTCGTGGGCACTGAGCACTGCATAGGTCACTGCATAAGTGCGCACATGTCCGCAGCTCGCCCTGGAGAAGAACAGCCAGGAGGTGTGTCCCCTTCATAGTGGCCTGAGCGAGATGACCCAAGGGCCCAGAGGCCCTAGCACCAGTCTTAGAGAACCTGGGGCCCAAGGCTACTCTCTTGAGCATAAACATTATTTGAAGTAACTTTCTCAGTAAGGAAATAAGTTGGGAAAAGCAGTATCTCACAGGCCACCTTGGCCAAAAGACAGAAAGTTATTTGGACTCAGGATATTAAGGTTCAGCTGCACTTCGTGGCCAGGTGGCATGAGTGCCACACTTCCACACACCCTGCTCTTGCTCTCCCCTTGTCTCCCATGCCAGGATTATATCACTACATCTTCAACACCATTCCACCACTGGGGCTCCGGGTCTCCTCAGGCTTTTCAGAGAGACACATTCCTCAAAACGTCAAAGCTTTATTCCAAATTCCACCCTCACTTACCTGATTGCCTGCCTCTTCCCAAGCTGGTCCCAGCTGAGTCCCGCAGAAGTCTCCAGACTCCAATTTTCATGAAGCACATGTTCTCTTTGTAGCCACAGGCTTGGATTTCTTAGAATTAGTATGGTTATTTCCCTGTCTTCATCTATATTGCTACTATTTAAAACACCCTAAAAGAATAATCTAAAATGACAATGAATTTTCTATAAAGGTCAGGGAAATATGACAGCATCTCCATTGCTTACCTGCAACACTTCATTTCTTTGAGATCAAATTTGAAAGTATCTCACTCTGATTGAAAGACAAAGAATCCCATGTATACCCACATGTCGGTAGGACCCATGGCCCCTGCATACTTTACATTGCAGAGACTCAGAATGAACAAGACAGGTGCATGGCTTACCTTTGACTTACAATGGCCAAATTTTATAAAAAAGGCAGTATCCAGTGAGAACTCTTCCTCTCTATATTAAGGTAGCTGGATACATCTCTGAAGCCTTGATAAGGTGTGTTAGGATTCAAAGCCCAACTAGGAAAGGTCTCTTTTCTGGTTCATCATGTCTCTTTTTATTAAAGTCACTAACCTTAACCACCTAGCCAGAGAAGAGCATGCAATTTCAAATGCATACAGTAATTTTCTTCACTAAACATGTCCAAAGATGAACATGAAGAAACAATGAGGAAAAGTGACTATTTGCATTGGGGAGCAGTGTTTTCTCTAAATGAGAATTTGTTTCGTTTCAGCACTGCTGACATTACGGGCTAGCTAATTCTTGGTTGTAGGGAAGTCTCTCATGTATTTAAAAGCACCCCTGGTCACTGCCAAATAGATGCCAATGGCACTCCCCATCTGTGACAACCAAAAATGTCTCCAGATATTGCCAAGTGTCGAAGGGGCAAAAAATCACACCTGGTTGAGAACTATTAATCTTAATGAATTCTGACCCAGTTAAACGTCTGAGGAATCTGTACCAAAAGTCAGAACATTCCCAGCCTGGCAGCCTGACTCATATTACTGTGAAATCATCATCCATTTTATCTGTCAATTAATTATCTACCCCTAGCCCTCAGAAGTATTCAACGTCAACTCCATGTGAGTTTGGTTGAAGAGACAAAATTGGTTAAGACACAATTTTTCAGTCATGGGTTGTTTGCTTAAGAAATGGTATGAAATATTAAACTTGGAGATAAAACTGATAATTTAGATTGTGGCACACCAAAGTACTGACTGAAGGGGGGTGGGAGAAGCGGGCACCCAGCAGTTTTAGTTCAATATGCAAATATAGAGAAAGATATGCCTTACCCAAATTAATCTATTAAAAGGGAGAGCCTCCTTTGACTCAGCTAGCACATCTCTTCTACCCTGTTTTTTGTTTTCTAGCAGAAAAGTCGATAGAAGCCGGTTATTTTCTCTAGGGCCATTCAAAGGAAACATAAAACCAGAACTGTAAATAGTGGCAACAATAATTCTTTTCTAAAGTCTTTCCCCTTTCCTTCTCTCAATAGCCCATGTAAATGTCTATTTACACATCTTTGGTTTGGTTTTATATTGTAACAGCATTTTCTTTTGAAGCTGTTGTATTTAATGTAAGGTTTCATATAATGTCAACAAGTAATTAAATTATGCTTGAAAGGTGGCCATATTCTATACCAAAAGTTGTTAAAGTTTTTCTTCTAACTGGTAAAAGTAGGATTTTGCATGACTTCACTTCTTTTTGTTCTGTGGTTTGTTTTGTTGTGTTGTAGTTTGAGCGTGTGACTTGGGTACCTCTGTATAATGACATGTGTGTTGGTTTCATGCACATTCATAGTGTTGAAATAAATATCAGAGAAAGGATGTTTCAGAGTAGCAGGTTTACCTGTTGACTATACTTAGAAATGGCTATTTCTTGTTCCTTCCCTTCCCATTATTCCACATGGAATGATGGTAATATGGGAAGCTTCCATACAAGTAATAATGTCCTTTACAGCATGTGAATGTCTCACTGAAGAGTCACGAGAACATCTGCATTATCATTGCATTACTTCCCAAGGCCATGTCCCAGCACCAATAATTTCAGACACCAGCATATGCCATTTCAAATTTAGATTTCACTGCAGCATGAAATTTTACACTCTTCAGTGAGAAAAAGAGAGCACCTGTTAAGAAGATGTAACTTAAAAAAAGAAAAGAAACCTTGTCCTTTTTTTCTCATTAGAACTTACTTTGTTTTGTTTTGACTACATTGTGATTCTCAGAGTCTTACCTTCTTACCAAGACAGATTGGAATATGAAATGGACCTAGTAGACAAATCCTGAAGCAAACATATTTCTGTTTTCTTGGCTTCTTAAATTCCAGCAATAATGAAGGCTCCACTCTATTTAAAGTCCAGAAATCTGTCATTCATTTAAATGGTTTATTAGGTTTTTTTACTTAAAAGTGAACCAGAATTAAGATTTAAAATGCGCAGGCATAGGAAAAAAGCACATATGCTACTGGTATAGTAGCATTCACTGTGAATACATGTACCCAGATATCAATATGCAAGATTGTTTCAATACTTCCTAATAGACTTTTTAAATAATGTCACATGTGATAATTGTTAAAAGTTTAATTTGGTAATATAAAACACAGTTTTAGGTCTTCAGTTGTCTTTTTTTTTTTTAGCAAGTACACATCCAGAGCAGTAAGTGAAAAATACAGAACACTTCCCATTCTCTCTGTAATTATGGTCAGTTATTTCTGTTTAGCTGTGAATTCAATTGGACGAATAGACTATTCTTTTGTACATATTTTGAAATGTTTCTTCTATAATGGTACAACCAATAAATGCATCAAATATACTCTGTCTGCATACTGGTGCCTGTCCCCTGGAGTGCGCAATAGTATGCAAGAAGGCATACAGAGAAGGGACCTGCCTTAGATGCCTTGTCAGTGAGACCCCAGCATTGGAGGAAGAGTAGAGATGGAACAAGAGAGTTCTAGGGGTGTAGTCCATAGACAATAGCACTTCTAACCCAAAAGTACCTCCCTGGGTGTTCAAATCAACCAGTGGCTCCCAGAGGGGAACTATGGGCAGTCTCATCCTGTGTAATTTTTCAGCCTTGAAAACACAGTGGGTGGTCAGCTATGAGTCCATTCTGATTCTATAGTAATGAGAGAGATAAACTATAGGTCTCCTTTCAAGATAGCAGTTCAGTTCTCCTATTTATAAAACTGCTAAGTTAAAGAATACTTAAGTCGTAGTCTCAACATGTGTATGAGAGGTTGAGTGGAGATAGAAAGTGAAAAGAAATAGATTTACACCTCTTCATATTGCAATTTAGTGATACCATGAACTTTGTGGGCTGAGAGAGCACAGTATGTGCCAAGTCACTCACCAACCTGCATGTGCACTTCCCAGGTAGTCAGCAAAGCTTCTGAGCTGAATGATTTAAATCTCCCTGATGAAACTTTTCTGTCTTTGGGTAAATAACCAGGTATCTTTTTGATTCAGACCTAGTAAATGAGAGAAGATTTGTATGGCACCAGGTGAAACACTGATGATGAAACAGCTTTTGCTTTCTTTCACATCTACCCTCCACATCACTTCCTCACAAGGACCTGCAAAGAGTATCTTTTGCCAACGAGGCAGCAACTTCTGAAGAAATTTACAACTCTTAATGTTAGATTTCATGGGAAAAGCATATTATTTTATATAAGTATGTTTAATACCATTTAAAGTTAGTGTTACAACCACTTAAAAATTGATGTCATACTTCTTTTTAAAAAACAAACCCGACTTCCATAATAGCTTGCCTCCAGAAACCCTGTGAACCTGGAGAGAGGATGAAACGCACCCAAACATCTAGGACTTTCCATCATAGGTTCGCTATGAGTCGCCTGCGACTCGACAGCACTTAACAACAATAATATCAACATAGAGAGATCAGCTGGGCCAGTGGACAGAAAGCAATGCTACCAAGCCAAAGCAGTCTTCCAGAGCAGGATAATCTCCACTATAAGGGAATAACTAAAAGGTAAAGTAGCAGCCCCACTGATTGCTTCCTATTCTGCAAGCAAATTTG